CCTTTCCTTGCTGTACTGTGATGAGGTGTACTTACTGAATGCCTGGACAAGGTTTTATGGGAAAAGCTGTTTCCCTGCCCCACACCCTGTGTAACACACACTTCTCCCAAGTCATGTAACCATCCCAAAGCTCAAGTGGTTTAGTAAGTGGCCAGGATCCCAGCAGGAGCACAGTTTGAATGGATTGCTCTTGTTTTGATGGGATCAAAAAACACCTGAAAAACACAAAGAAAATAGGGTTAGGGGTGTTCTCCAGTGGGGTAGAGGAATTCTCTGGTTTTTCTTTCACAGTGTCCCGCAGCTRTGCCAAAACCTCGACATCCTTGTTCTTGTTATCTCACATTAAGCCTTTAATATTGCCTTTAATATACCCCTTACTTTAAACATTGCTGGCTTTACTATGCAWAAGTAATTCCATTTTTTGCTTTTTTTGGGGCCACAGCCTGAACAGCCACAGCTTTGTATGGAAAGACAAATTGAGAAAACTTGGGCAAGTCCCAGTACTAGCTGCACTTGGAAAAGTGAAGCTGTTTGAGGAGCTGTGAAACCTTTGTCATGGGAGCATGTCCGGAGTACTGGGAGTCTGCAGAGCAGCAGCTTCACCATGTGGGAARAAGTGTGTAAAGCGGGTGGGCTGAGGGGTGTTGGGACCTGAAAGTCAGATACATTTTGTAAAGTGTTGCCTCYGGTTGCRTTGGYASTTTGCAGAGAAAGAGTTGTGGAAAKAGATGTAGTTAGATAGGTAGGTCATGTTTGAAAAGGGGAGATGGATCCTTGAAGGCCATGAACTGAGAAATGCTGTCAAATGTTAATTAAGAAAGGGGGGAAATATGTTTTCAGGTTATTTCCATCAGTTGTGACACTGTTTCAGTCCATTCCCAGCTCTTAGGAATTTAACTGAGTAATTCAAGGTCCAGACAAAGGRTATAGTAATTTAAATTTGAAGAAATGTTTAGTCAAAACCATTAATTTCACAGCTACCGCATGAATTTATCTTCTGTATTCATTGACATTATTGTTGCAAGTGCACTGTCAAAAGGGAATTTTAAACCAATATTAGTAAGTCACTATGTAAAACTCTTAATACTGCAATTCCTRACTGAAGTTTGTTTATCCCATCTCAGAATGGATGTTTCCATTCCAAGTACTTGTGACCAAGGTAGTTTTGCTTGGATACAACCTGAATTCAAAATATCCCCTGCACACAGAGAGCTTCTTATGAACATCGAGTTCAGAGGCCAGAAGTTACTTGTAGCAAGAACAGAGGATAACTTCTGAATAAATGAATATACTGGAGGAAATCATAAGCTGCTTACAGGGTGTTTGCAAACAGGAACAGAGAGTACATTCATCAAAGAAATTACTCAGTTTGAATAATTTGTTCAAGCTCAGAGCATGTTTACCTGGCTGTGAGGGGAATGGGGAAGTTTAATTGGCAAACGTTTGTATTGTGCTTTGAGACAGTTGTATGAAAGGCAGTGTGAAAAGGAAGCGTTCTTGTTGTTTCTAGGCTTATAATTCCTTCTGTAGTTTGTGTGAATGCAGCCTTTTCTTCGGGGTTTTGTAAAGAAGGGATGCAGTGGTTGTTTTGCAGCACGTGCATGTGGGGGAGGTTCTAGAAAAGATGTCTTCACTCTGAAAGGCACCCTGGCTGTGTCTGCCCTGCCTGCAGAGCGAGCCTCACACACCCACCCACGGTCTGCAGGCACCCGAGGCTGGAAGCAGCTGAGCACAGACTGCCCTGGGGCTGGTACAGACCCTGAGTACCCAGACAGAGTTATCTCAGCTTCAGCTGATGCTGAATATGACCCTCTTTTATCAAAAAGACCTCAGTATTGTATTTTAACTTTATCAAGTTTTTCAGAGAAGACAGTAAACATCTTTCACAAAGTGAAACCATGACTGTGTCTCTTCTGTCCAACTCACCGTCTGCTCTTTAAAGTACCTGTAAGAAAAATGCAAGTAAACATGCAGGTATGGAAGAGCAGATACAGGTCTGAACTGTGCTGTGAAGTACTCTGTAAATACCTTAACAGAGTGTTTCAGTACTCAGTATCTAGGGAATCCTTCTCAGTTACACCACCATTGATTTTTGGAAATGGATGAATGTCACTGGGAACAAAAGTTGGCCCATACAACTAAGTAATAAATATCTTTTTGCAGGAAGTATATTTATAAACAAAGAGCGAGCCTTGGATCTTCAAGTTACATTTGCWAAGCTACTGCCTAAAAATTGGCATGGTTCCTTCCAGTCAAGGGATCTTGGAGACAGTTTTGCTGCATCACAAGCTGCAATAGTATCTCTGAGGCTTTGAAAATGAACRCCAGTGTCTGCAAACAGGATACTATTTGTGAGTTTTAATTGGAACCAGTTGTGTCTGAAYGCTGCAGACTTTGAAATAGCAGGGCTAACCTAAGAAAGCTATTCAAGATCTATCCACAGTGTTCCCCAGATACACAGGGGTGAAGAGCTTACTGAGATCAAGGCCCAGCATGAGRTTCTGCTCTGAACTTGAACTGAATTGGACAAATCTTTTGGGTGTATATGTTGTTTTGAAGACATTTGGGGGCTTCARATATCTTCCTTCCTCTCCTCCCCAGCTTGGCAAGAATTAGATGCAAAAATTTACAAGACAGGCTTTTGCAAAGGGGGAATTGAGTCACAGAGAAGCTGAATGCCATATATTTAAAGTCAGTGTTTCTCTTCTCACTTAACAAAACTGGTGATTGGAAGAGGTGAGGGGGAAGGAAARGGATGTTGGATCATCTTCTATAACTCTGTAATAGTTATGTAGAGGCAACTGACCTGGCTGAGAATTTAATTTTAACATTTGCCACTTGGCTGGGAAAGCTCTAGCTAACATACTGAAATACACTGTTGTATTTTGGTACAAGAGTCTGTCTTTAAATGCTTCCTTAAAGCTGATAGGCAGTGAATTTTCTCTGTAAGTAGGTAGTTGTAGGTCACCTGTCCTCTTCATTGCCCTGTGCAGAACAAGACTAGCAGGACCAAGGACTTACTATGRCAGGAAAATCTGGCCCCAGAGTAGAGTAGAACTTGAGCTATCTGCTGTTGACATTTCTCTGCAATGTAAACCTGAGAGTTTTTTCAGCTGAATAGATCTTATTGCCCCTCCATTCTTTACAGGTTTTCTCTAAGTTTGGGTTGGGGTAAATCAGTGCAAAACATTTAAAATATGAAGTCATATGTGACAGTCAATGTTCTTTTGTCATGATGCAGTGGTACATGGAAAAYCTCAAAATTAGAGTGAATGGAAGAGCTGATACATTCCTCTGATCAGAAAAMCCATAAATTTTAAGTCTCTTGGTGTGTATTGCCTTTGTGGTTTGCTTTACTCTTGATTTAGACCAGCTTTAGAAAGTTAATATCAACCGTTAAACCTTCTAGGCTATCTTTCCCCCTCTTTTTTTTTTTCTGGTTTAGGAGTGAATAAAAGAGCTTTGTGCAGTTCTTGAAACTGAGCCTGAAACAGCTCTGAACAAAATATAGTGTTCCTTTGAAAATCTTGGAAATAATTACATCATAGGCAAATTGGGCCAGAAACCGTTAATAGTATTCTTTGTGGGATGAATCCCATGAGAGGACGTATTTCAGCAGACTGGCATTGTTTACAAATAGATGCAGTGACAGACACAGTTGTCCCATTCTGAGGGACAACTGAAACTGTGACCTATAATGGACTTCTCAGAATAACTGCCTTGCTTTTGATAACAAGCTGAAAATGTGCCTTGGTGCTTCTGTGATCACCCTCACAGTGATCATCCTGCAAGTGAAGGCTGTATTTGGCACTGGAAAACTCTTTGTAGGTGGGTTAGAGACAAAATTATGTCTTGCATAAGTTCCCAATCTTTGAGAATTGCTGGAGGAACAGGGGGCTGTGTCCAGATGTCTCTGCTTGGCTTCATAAGCTTGGAACTCTGCACAGAAACCTGGGCATCATGGGCTTTCCCTTCACCAGGATAACAAACACAGCATGTGTGGATCTCCCTGTCACTTTGCTGTAGTTTTCATTACTGGCTGTTCCCCCCCACCTTCCTTACTAGAAAACCTTCTGCATTTCAGGATGGAARTCACTAAGATTAGTAATATTAACTGTTTGACCTCAATCTACAAAAGCATTTAGTTCTCTAGGTAAGTAGGSTAGTCTGTGCTTGAAAACCAGAGTGGCACAATCTCTGGTCTGGGCACAATTACAACTGTTCCTGGGTGATACAAAGCACGTTAGTGCCTGTGTGTGTGTGCTGCTACAGGAGGGTGAGCTGTGTTCCTCCATCGCCAGAGCATGTCTTTACCTGGACACTGGGCTGTGTGGGCAGAGCTTTCCCTTGAGGAATAGGCAGATCCTAGGGACCGTGGTTTTCTCTGAAGGATCACTTGTGCTTTCCCAGGTGGTGTGGTCCAAATGACAAACACATCTTTCTCTCTGACATCTGCCTCCAATACACGACTCCGTTAGTTAAAAGTGTGTGATTTTTTTCATGCTTTTAGTCCCGAATGCAAGGCTCTAGAGAACACACCTGGTCAGTGGCTGCTTGTGGTTCAGTGTTACCTGCAGTTACAGGTGGAGGTGAGCAACCACATGGTTTAGGGGAAGTCTGGCARTTCACACAGGGTGAGCCTATGAGTAGACATCCTCTTTGGATGGTGACCACACGGATCTACCAGCACAGCAATTGTTTGAGCTCTCCCTCACTTGCTGCAGGGAAAAGATACCAGAATAGGTCAGGTCACTGATACAACACAACCCAGTTGAAGGCAGCTGGGAAGGTGCTCATACAAGCTACTCYCCTGATGGAGGTGAGCAGGTGGAGTCAGTAAGTGGTGGCTTCAAGTGCTTGTTTGTGAATCAGGACCTCCAGGATCCCTGCTCCATGCTGGATGTGCTGGGAGAGGGCTGGGACCAGCTGTTGCTTGAGTTTTCAGCTGTGCGTCCATGGGATCCTCCCTTGACAGGCATGTTTTGTGTTGTGYTTTGCAGGAGGCTGTGAGGGCTGCTGAAGATGTCCGATAGTCTGGATATTGAAGAGAAACCTCCAGCTCCACCRTTGAGAATGAACAGCAACAATCGCGATTCTTCAGCACTAAACCACAGCTCAAAACCGCTTCCCATGGCCCCTGAGGAGAAGAACAAGAAAGCCAGGCTGCGCTCCATCTTTCCAGGAGGAGGGGATAAAAGTAAAGTATCAGCAGTGCAGATGGGTGGCTCCTTCTCTGGGCTTTCTGGTGGTCACTGGTTTTCGTGTTTGCTTTCTGCYGCTGTTTTCTTTCTGTTTCAGTCACAGGCCATGGTACCAAAGCCTTCTGTTCCAATTACTCTAGAAACACATTTCAGAGGAGGAGGAGGTGTTCAGTCAGTTACTTTCTTGTSTATGAAAAGACACTAAAATGTGCACACATTGTGCAACTTGCCTTTTAAAAATAACTTTATAGTTAAGCTGGGGAATCCTTTCCTTTGGATTTTGCTTTGCATTAGCAGTAAATACAGAGATGAGGTTGTGTACTTGTGAAAATACATTTGCAGAAGTGAGAGGGCAATATGCCTGACACTTAGGGGTTTTTTAATGCACTTATATTCCRGGAACAGAAACAGGGCTCTTCTTGCTTGTTGCTTTTGCAGTGAAAGTGGATGCAGAATGGGGTGGTTTAAAACCTGCTAGGTGTGGATGCAGCAAGAGTCTTTTAAGCATGCAGCAAACAGCATTTCAGTTGGATTTCAGTTGCATTCTTTTAGAATTGTGGAAAGGAGTGTGTTTTAAGTTAGCACATTTGCAGGTTTAAGGGATGGGACCTTCTTTATTTCTAATATCATGGGAACTGATGATCTGCACCCGCAAGGCTGCTGTCACTGGAAGGCCACTCTTGACTATCTTTGAAAGGTTGGGGTCACTGGGGGATGTTGCTGTGATGGAAGAAAAGCAAAGAAGAAGGATCTGGGGAAGTGCAGGCCAGCCATTCTCACCTTGGTCCTTGGGAAGGTGGTGGAGAAAATCCTGGAAAGTGTTTCCATGCAAATGAAGGATAACAATGTGGTCAGGAATAGTCAGCATGGATTTGTGGAGGGGAATTCATGCTGAACTATACTGACAGCCTTTTACCTTGAGRTGACAGGCTTGGTAGTGAAGGCAGAGCAGTGGTTGTTACTTCTGCTTTAGTAAGGTGTTCAGCAGAGCTTCCCACAGTATCCTCACAGACAGACTGATAGAGTACAGTACAGATAAGGGTACAGTGAGGTAGACTGAAAACTGGCTGAAATGCTGGGCTCGGAGGTTGTGGTCAGCAGCACATTATCCAGCTGGATTTCCAGAGTGATTTTGCCTTCAACGTCCTCCAAGGAGAGCTCAGAATTGTGGAACTGCAGTCATTCCCTTGGAGCTCTGGCTCACCCGTGCTTCTTAGCTGCCCCATTCGTGAGTCTTCATGAGGTTGTGTGGGGCAGTTGGAGTCTGGAATTCAAAACTCGCACAGGTGGTAAAGGGCACAGGGGCAGCCCCATTCCTCCTCTCAGCCACGGGCAGTCCTCATTGAGTTCTCTCATGTGAAGGCTGTAAYTGGATGAGCCCATTCCTCAGGCGAACCTGGCTGGTTCGTTCTGCAGATTATTCCCCCAAATGTCCCCTTCTGGGAACAAAATTAATTTTCAATTGATTCTTTTTAAAGGCCAAAATGAAAAYCTTTCTCAGCTTGCTTAATTCTTGGAAAGACTTGGGTCACTTCTTCCCCTGAGTGCTAGCAGGATGGTATTATCCCTCCCTGAGGAAGCATTTCTTAAGTAGGAGATGCTGTGTGAAACGCATGCAGAGCAGGGGAGACCCAGAAACAACGCCTCCTGGAAATGATCAGTGACATTAAAAATGYAATTAAATACCAGTCAAAACAATCTTAGGGAACATACAAGTGTCATGATTTTAAATGTGACCGTGAGGAAAAGTCAGGTAAGATTTATAGCTTAATTTTGTTGGTTAGAATAATAAATGGAGGAAGTTTAGCTTGACTGGCCAAGTCCCTTGAGGTGATTTCACTGCAGGGTTGGTTTGTGGGTCAGGGTATCAGCTGGCATGTGTGTGCTTCACGGACTCTGTGACACATTTTTGAGACTCCTGCGTATAAAACAGAAGGAGATTGATGTGTCTGCTCTCATCTAGTGCAGCGCTTTGCAGCCTCACAATGTTAAACCCATAGTTCATCACTGGTGCAAGTAACTAGAATGTGGAGAAAACACCATGGCTGGGTATTTCTGCCTGAGCCTGCAGGAACTTTGCTGTCTGTCATTTGCTCACCAGACAGGAGGGATGTGAGGATGGATATGGTACAGTGTGTTCTCTCCAAGGCTGTGGTGTGTGCCAGGACTGCTGTGCCTGGGCACCAGGAATCTTTTGCAGTCACTCCCCTGCTGGAGTGCAGCATTTTCAGTTAGAGTTTGAGCACTTGTGTTTAAAACCTTGTTTTGGCAAGCCCAGTGATGGCTATGTGGAGCCCTTCTGTGCATATACAGTTGAAATAAACCATTTAGGCAGTCGTGTCCTGCTTCTTCCCATAGTGCCTGACCTCATGTTGTTGTATAGCTCCTCTCTCTCCCATCTCTGGGCTAAGGTACCCCAATTCCTGGGGGCAGGAACCCAAGGCAGACAACTGAAATAARTTTCCAGTGTCATGCAGGCAATCTGTGTGGAGCAAGGAGCTGAACCTGTTCTGCTGAAGCTGTGAAATTGGCCTTCCTACCTCAGATAAYCACGGTGATGGAAACCCCAGTGGAGTTTGCAGCAGTAGTGCTTCATTCAGCAGAGGTTGTTACCTCAGCAGAACTGAGAGCAGAAAGAAAGCTTGGTTCTTAAAGTTGTTTGGTACAGGCTTGTTCTGCTTTCATTAAACCACTTATAATTGCTGTGAAATAAATTAATGGTGTGTGTGCACTGAGGGCTCCGTGAAGGCACTGTAGAGCATTTGGCCTAAAGAAATCAGGGAGAGGCAGACCTGCCACAGCTCAGATGCCCTTTCAGAGGTCCCTCCATGTTAAGTTCCTGGGTGAATGACACCACTTCCATGAAGCTGCTTTGGACTTGGCTGTGGATGGGAGCAGACTCTGGCTTTTAGGTTTCTGGTTTCCGCACAGAAAAACAAGAAAAGAGGGAAGGAGGAAAACCCAGCAAAGTAAAGATCAAGGGAAGAGGACAAAAGGACAAAGCTACTGGAGTGGGACAGGAGGAGCAGAGCAATAAGGAGGATGAGAAGACAAGTGTGAGTTGCAGTGGAAGGGAGAGGGAATGGAGGGAAGAACAGAGTGACTTGAAGAGGAGGTGAGCAAACAGGAGGGCGTAAGCATGAGGTCAAACCCTTCCTCTTTCTCTGAGAAAAGCTGCCAATTAGCTGAGTCACATTTTTCTCCCAAACTACTGCTCTTTTAACATAATGGTAATGATGGTGATGCAGACTSTGGAAGAGCAATCTTTCCTTGTTCTGTTTTAATCTGTCATAGGTGCTGAGGTGGTGTGGAGGCTCTCATGGCTAACTGTGCAGCAGGAGTGTATTGAGAGGGGCATTTACAAGAAAATCAAATAGGAATATTCGGTACAAACCCCTTGCATCCAGTCAGTCAGTGCTTCAAAGAAGTCATGCCTTTTGATATCATTTTACTGGCTTGTGTGGAATAGAAATGATTTGATTTGCAGGGCCCAGACAGATGTGTCATAGTTTTTAGCCTGGGGAAAGGTGAGTGTGTTATAAAGAGATGTTTAATTCTGTATTTCATTTGTAGTTTATCAGCATTTGAGCCATAGATGTTATATCACAGTCCTGTAGGCACAAGTCCATGAAGCAAATGAGCCAGATCTTGGGGAATGAGCTGGAACACTTGTCCTCCAGCAGGAGAGTCCTAGCATGGACAAGCTCTGCTTTTGATGGAACGTTTTTTATAAACCCTTATTTCACGTCTAGATTTGACTGCTGCTTTGAACTGRGTTTGATAATCCTTTGAATATAATTTTCACTGCATTTGCTTGCAAATGATGAGGTAGAAGAAATCAGTTTTGTTATCTACACAGAGATGACATCTTCTAACTGGCAACATCTGCCCTGAAAATTAAGCAACATCATCTTAATGATAAAAGAAGGGGAAATCCTTTGCATTTGTATTTGATATATTGCTGCCATCTTTTCTGAATGCTAAATTAAAATACTTCATCCATAAACATTGTGTAGGGGTGTGCAGCACAAACAAAAGATGACAATTACTTAATGAGGATAAATGCAGCAATGCAGAGAAAGGATTAGAAACGTTCAAAATAGACTGTAAGTACAAAGAGCAGAGCATCTTCCACTTAAACAGGGTTGTAAGGTAGAACAAGAAACGTGCAAATAGAGGCCTTGTGGAGTTACTGCCTGAGCAAAAACAGACATGGACTGGGAGGGCTGCTGGTGCWTGGTGACTCCAGTCTTGGATGAGATCCCTGGGTGAACCTATGGAGCTGTCAAACATACTATTAAAACACTGCAGGAAAGTGGAGGCAGCTTCCCTCAGCCTTTATTCCACTCATTCTTTATCAGGGTCAGTAAAACTGGGCTGAAGTGRCATTTGTCAGCAGTCACAAGTGCAGGAGATGGATGACCACAAGGGATGTTACTTTCAAAGAGTTGTAAAGAGGGAGGGAGATGAGAAGCATATGGAGGTTGACTGACTTCCAACTCTGCCTGCTTAAGTAAGATACTMCACACTCTGGGAATACTGGTGGAGTGATTTATAAAGAAAAAAAAWTCTGGAGACTAATAAAGCCTGCATTTTGTGATTATATGTCTTACTTAATTGAGAGCTCAAATGAAGCTTTTCCAAAGGCATTTAYGGGATTCTGTTGCTGGGCAGATTCTGTCTTTTCTAAAACAGAGCTGCTGTTTCAGCCTTTTACTTGGAAGAGAAGTCATAGGTGCTGCTGATGTTTTTACAGAGCCTGTAGGAAAAAATCGTCTATCTAAAAAAACCTTTCCTCTTGGATTTGGTTCATTTTAAAATGTGTTCAAACTGTGCTGGAAAAAAGACACACRGACACATGTCCTGTGTGATTTACTTGTGCAGGAACCCACAGCATGAAGTCAAACAGGAGTTMGTTTCTAGATGTGAAAATGTAAAAAAAGAACTGAAAATAGAAATCATACTGATTAAGGATAGCTTGAGAAGGCTATCATGAATAGCTTGCTTTAGCAGCAGCTACATTGGCTGAAAGGAAAACAAAATAACACCTTCTAGACCATCCCCAGCAAGGGTTGCCAGGCTGGTGGTGTGTTAACTTGGGTCTGTTTGTCAAGTTAGATGGACATTAATTGATTTGTTTTCCAATTTTAAACATTATTTTGAGCACACCTGATTGTTAAAAGTTTTAAATGAAAAACTGTACAGAAAATAAGTGCTTGTTAACATTTTGCCTCTAGCCAACAAGAAGAAAGAGAAAGAGCGTCCTGAGATCTCTCTTCCTTCAGACTTTGARCACACCATTCATGTGGGATTTGATGCAGTCACTGGAGAATTCACAGTAAGTAACTGCTGTATTTCRTGTTTACCAGAGCTTCTAGTTTCTTGATGGTAAAATAACCTCCTGTTGCCAGAAACATCAGATGACAGCAGCCAGGCTGTGAAGAAAGAGACTTATTTGTTGAGCTTAGGATTTGGAGTATTTAACTTGTGATTCAGGCTGCTATTTTTTTTTTTTTCTCCAAGGATTGTCAGCAGAGTGTCTGTGGGAAATGAAAACTAGGAAGAACGTAGGTGTATGCTTTTACCAGTCCCCCAAGCTGCTACAAGGGTGGGTTATTCAGTGTCTATGGGAAAGTATAAAAAGTCTCCCCACGTGCATAGTAGACAACCAAACTCAAAGTGCAAAGTCCAGCTGCTCTGCAGGCCGCCCTTGGAGACACCCAGAAAGCAGCAACATGGTGGAAGTCCATTCTTTTTAATTTAGTATCCTTCAAAATAYGTTTGTACACTGGGTGATCAGTGTTTCTAGCCTTTATGTATTAATAAAATAGCCATCAGCTTTGCTTCTTGTATCTCAGCAAAGTGTTGGGAAAAACGAATCTGATGRAAGCTCTTTGAAGTGTGCAAGGGGCTTCAGAGCATTTTCTCTCAGATTACTAGTAAGGTGCTGAAACCATTATTCCTTAAAGCTAAGATGGTAGTGAGCTTATGTTTTGTTGAGCTGTGGAGGTGAGAGGAGCATTAGCAACTCTCCTGCCACCAGTAGTGCCCTGTGAGCTGAGTGGTCAGACTGTGTAATCATCATTATGGACTGTGCTGGTGCTGACTGGCTGCGTACACCAAACAGGATGGGACAAATCATTTGCCTAGACAAAGGATGGCTAATTTTCAGAATTTGAGCCCTAAATGTGATTTCTTCATAATTTTTTTACTTTGCTACATTTGTTTCACAAAGGTGTTTCAGAAAGCKGGAAACTTTCTGTGTCCTACAGTAGCAGTTGCAACCATAGGAATAACAGTAGTAGAAAAAAGACACATTTAATGACAGCATGTCTTCAAAGGAGTAGTGAAATTGAATTATCCTTGGTAATTAGGAAATACAACTACATTTAAAATAAGTGGACTAGTTAATTAGGCTTTTTAAAATATATGTCATAAAATCTTACTTCAAAATTTATTCTGTGCCAAACCCCAGGGCTTGACTGAATGCTCATTTAAAAAGCCCAGATGTGGTCATTTTTGATCAGAAACTTTGCATAAAGCTTTTAAAATTGTGTTTTCCCTGCTGTCTCTCCTGTTTTTTTTCTTTTTTTTTTCCTCTCTTTCTTTTCCTGTAGCTGCTTCATTGTTCAGGTTAATCTTCAGTGCCATTCTCCTTATCTTCAGATAATGTTACGTTCTGCTTTTGTTTTCTTCTTTTTTTGTTTGCATTGCTTCTTGTGTGTCTTTGCCTTCCCACTTTCTTTCTCTCCCCACTGCATGTGCAGATGTTCTTAGTTTATATCTGTTCTTCCTTTCAGCCTTCTRCCTTTATTTCTACCTTTATTGAGACTTTCCTTCTGACTCTGTGCACACATGATGGGTCAGACTCATGTTCTCTCATAATCTGATTGGTGCTCTGGGTCCTGGTTAGGTCACGTCCCTGCCAGCTGGAACAGACAGGAGGGCTGTCAAGCTTAAAACACTTCAGTTCTAAGCACAAGCACYCACTATTTGTATTTGAGGGATCAAGGTCTGGATCATCTTGAATGTTGTTATTATCTACCAGTGTGTCAAAACAGTCTCTAGCATAAGAGATTTTAATTTTTTTTTGGTGTCAGATGCCACCAACGGAGGTCCTGGCCCTTTATAGAGGAAAGCAATTCTACATGGCTAAATAGGTCTAGCTTTGTTGCTGTAGCAGAGTTTATTTTTGAGTATCTTTTTCCGAACAGTGGACATCAGATGTCTGCTGTTTTGCCATTACACTTGTTCCTGAAGTGTGGGTGTGCAGTGCTGCAGTCTGAGAAGATTCTAACCAATTCAAAACTAACCAAAGGGACAGGTGACTTCCCATTGCCAGCACAGGGCTTAATGCTGCAGTCCTTAGTRGAGTCAAACATCAGTCATAGGAAGGGAATTTTTGCACCATTAAGAACTAGCTATGGGTCCCAGCTAATCTCAGATGCAGGCATTACATTCCACACTACATTAGGCAAGTTTGATTTGTCCCAACCTGGATAGAACCTGTGTATCAGCTGGGTAGTCATGTGGTAAGTACGTCCTGCAAAGGGACTGCCACCAGCCCATACCATGTTCAGATATTCCCACTGTCTAGTGATCACGCTGTCTGTCTCTTTCAAAAGTTTGGAAGTGCCATGGGAGTGTCCAATCAACGTGCAAACATAATGGTTTTTTTTTATTTCGAATTATTGCAGCTGTCATGCCAGTAGTGCCTGCTCTCTGGGTTATATGCAATGCATTGGGCCATTTTCTGACACAGAATCATCACCCCCAGCTGCATCCCCTGGTTGTTGTTAGATGCATCCCAATGCACAGTTGCATGGGCTCCCGAGTTCTGGCTTTCAGGCTTGAGCACCAACCTGTGTTGTCCATCATGAGATATTCCATCTCCATTTCACTGTGCTTGGAGCAACCACATTTGCTAAATAGCAGACCTTTTAAAGCAGAGAATAAAACTGGTTGGAAACTGTTGGGTGGGAGCATGTTGCTAGAGCTTTATGTTCCTTTATTTGAAAAAAGAGTTGCATTTTCTGAATGGAGGACAGTGTGGTTAGCAGGCCTTTGGGGAGTGTTTTTTTGTAAGGCATGCATGTTTGAAACCATTCCCTCATCCCCAGTCTAGAAGAAAATGTGGTTACCTACCAAACTTTTAAAGCTTCAAGATTATGACATTAGTAAGTGGGAAAAGTTGTGGCTGTAAATCCAAAGAAGTTACACGTTCCTAATCTAATCAAGCATTTCTTTACAATTGTCCTGATTTTCAGTCTGACACACACAGACTATTTGTGTTGTGGCAATGCACAACCTCACAGATTTCACAATCTGACTTTGACCAGCTGCTCTCTCCACTGGTCAAGTGGTGATYTCGGGGCTGGAGAACTCCCAAGCTTGGAAAAACTTGTACAGAGCCATTCAAAAATGGGAATCTGGCTTCAAAACTCGGCAAACAGCAAAAGCCCAGATCCTTCTTGTTTTTTTTAATTGAGAAAGGAAATCACATGTAATTTTTCTAATCACTTGCTGTTAATTGTCAGGAATGTATTTTTGTGAGGAGAGAAAAGCTGTTTAAAAGCAGGAGGAGGGGGAATGATGCTTCCAAACTTTGGAACAGTTGTGGTTTTTCTGTTTTCCTAAACCTGCCTTCCTGTAGCCTGTCCACTACCTGATCTGTTTGGTATCCGCCTCGTAACTCCCATTTTAGATGGGACTTGCCCATTTTGGCCCATTGGTTTCCTCCTCCTACCACCTTCTAAGTTGTCCCACATTCTGTTTTAACTTTCTTTTCTTTCTTTATTTACGTCCATTACAGCCAGATCTCTATGGCTCACAGATGTGCCCAGGGAGGCTCCCAGAGGTGCGTCACAGGCCCCAAATGCTTCTTTGAGATGTCATAGCACTGCAGCAGCAGGTTGATGTGTGTGCAGTAGATTTGTTGCTTGGCTTTTCCCACTTTTTTCATCAATCCTAAACTTTGGAGGCCCATGTCACACATTGTTTTGTGGACAATTTCTGAGAAGAAGCTGTATGAAAGTAGATAGGGGTGGCACCAAGGCTAAGGTGTCATTTTTCCTTCAGTGAGCCCTACAACTTGCTGGTCAATGTCAGTTGTGCAGTGAAGGGGGGAATGACAGGCTGTCAAATCTAGGGAATTATCCTGGATAACTAAAGCAAATTTTCATTAATAGAATTTCAGTGTAGAGCTGGGGCTTTCAGTGATTGGATCAATTTTCAAATTCCACCTCACCCTTAAGATGTGCAAGAATTCATTCAAGGCTTTGGCACTCTCAGCCTGTTTGCTGAGCCCSTGGTTTCTGTATGTTTGTGGTAGAGAGCCTAGAGTCATCCTWTGCAGCAGTGGTACACCTCAGTGTCATGATTTTGAGAGCTGAAAGRCAGATTCTTTACCCTGCAGTGTTCCCTGGTATCCTGAAAACTAATTGTATCAGKGTGGGGTTTACCTTTGAATCGGACAGCAGTGATCATTTCAGCCAAATGTGTTTGCATTCCTAAGCATGAAAAGTCCAGTGTAAAGCTCCTAAAAGACACTGTGTTGTCCACCAAKAGAGAATAGTCTTGTTATGTCTGCCCTGAATCACCAGGCAAACAAGCTTAAGTTTTAAATCATTATTCCATGGAAGAGCAGAGTTGATTTCCAGAGAAGTTTCATGCCCTTGTTTTCCACTCACAGTCATTATTTTTTTTTCTTTTTAAATTTGGGTCCTGTTTTAGCTAGATTTTTCATAGARAAGAAAATTATTGCATCTAATTTTAATTTTAAGGTGTCAGTCAAAATTTCTGCGAGTAATCTTACAGGGAGCATGGGATCTTGGTAAAGAATTGTGAGGCTGAGAATTTTAAATACTCTAAACCCACTTTGTTTCCACTCGACGTCTACAGGGCATTCCAGAGCAGTGGGCCAGGCTACTACAGACCTCCAACATAACAAAGCTGGAGCAGAAGAAGAACCCACAGGCTGTTYTAGATGTTCTCAAATTTTATGATTCCAAAGAAACAGTTAACAACCAGAAATACATGAGCTTTACGTCAGGAGGTAAGTTAAAATTTCCCATCAGGAGAGGACAGGCTCCTGAATGAGTTCAGCATTCAATTGTTCAAGAAGCACCCTGAACCAATTCCACATTGTGAGATACTCCTGAAATGAATTCCATTTCTCCTTTTTCCCCCCAAACATCATTAAAATGCTGACTTGCTTGGTTGCTGGTTTGTAGAGCTAACCGAGATTAAGGTGGCATTGGTTTGGTAGAGCTCCTATCGACAACTTCAGCTAAAAAAGGGGGTGCCTGTAGCCAGCAGGGTGAGCACAGCATTTGGAATGTAACCTGCTGGGGTTGCATTCCCTCCATGRCATTGTCTGTGGCAGTGGAGTCTGTCATTTCCTCAGTTTGATGATTCCACCAACTTCCAAAATKCAAAAAGCTCTCAGAATTATTTGTAAAAACTGTGCTCTTATCTCCAGAACAGAGAGAAAGCGTCTTTTTTTCCAAATTCCATAATTAAAGGATTTAACTAATTGAGACTTACTGTGTGCTAAAATAGCAATTCCCCTTGTGATGACATGCAGACTTCAAAACAGTTTGTGTGTGCTCCTGAACCCAGGAGTTGTTCTTGTGCTGTGTCAGAATAGAACTGCCATGGCTAAGGGGGTTTTGGGGAAGCTTTTCTGTGGAAATGTTGTCAGCAAGCTAATGAGAATGAATGCATGCAATTTATTGAACAAAAAATAARACACAGGAAGGAAAGGAGAAAAAGCTGCTTTAGCTCTTGGGTGGAACAGATGCATTGACAGTTAAAGAACAATTCACATTTTCTTGAACAAATTTCTATCTATTTTATTTACCAGCAAAGAGGGCCAAAAAAAGACACAGTCTGGAATTTTGTTCTGTCCTCTTCCTTGCTGTTGCTCCTGAAGGGATGGTGTAAAGAAAAATGTTTTCCATTTGGGTTGACTTGTTCTGTGGGATTCCCCAAAACAGGCAGGTTTTTTTTCTAACAGCATCTGGTTGATTTTCCTTTGCTCATTGCAGATAAAAGCGCCCATGGATACATAGAAGCCCATCCGTCGGTGAGTGGCAAAGTAACCTTTGATGTTCCAAAGTAATCTTTGTTGTTTAAGAATTGTGGAGCAAGCCATGAGCTTTCCCTGTCCGATTTTAAATTTTCCATTTGAGATCTTTTAAACAGATGAAAGTCTGCTTTAGCAGACAGAAGATTGTTTGATGGTTTTATCCATGGTGTATATAATTCACGACAATATGCAACACCACCTAATGAGCCCATTTTAATTTAGTTTTAACAGTTYAGAATCCCATTTCTATCAAATTTCATGATCTCTCCTTAGTACAGCTGGATATATAACTGAGTATGAATAAGGTTATAATTGATATGTAAYCACTGAAAGAAAGTTTAAAATAACCATCCACTCTAATTAATGCTGGATTGCAGTAGYAATCCCAGAGATGTAGGAGTGACATACACATTAATTCTGACCAAATTTATTAGGGTTATTGTTAGTGAATTAAATAGCAAGTGACTGAATGGAGATATGGCTTTTATTTTAAAGTGTTGAACAACTTCATGTGGTTTGCATTACATGGCCAGCTGTGTATAATAAAATKAAAATCATCTTTGAATATTCATACTTCAGATTTTCAATCAATGCCACTTCCCTTATGTTTAATAAAACACACTTTTCAGAGGAAGTGTGGTGCTCACCAGAGCAGAGTAAGCCTTCCCAATAGCTTTTTCAGTGGGTATGGACACCTTGGCAGATGCTGTGGTATTTTCTTCTAGCAAACAGAGGCAGCAGTGAGACAGTCAGCACATCAGCTTTCCAAAATTACAACTCAGGTCTCCCAGTTTGCTGTGGACTTCCTTACTGGAATTTCTGCTGGGACCAAAGGCATGGCATTTTAAAGAGAGTGCCAGTGAGATGTAAATATGTAGAATGGTGCCTTTGATTTGCTTCAGTTCTCTAAGTGGCCTGTTGTAGCCAGCTTTAAAGCAGCTGGTAAAACACTTCACAAAGCACATTTTCATTTTTTGCTTCACCAGCAAATTTGGGATGCCATGATACAACCCCCTGCCTCTGAGTAGCAGCTGGGACTGATGGAGTTCAATGCACCTAAACCTTTAAATTGTGTTGTAACTTAGAACTCCCATAGGAGCATGTGCATGTCTAGAATGGCCTCTGATGTCTAGGAATCTAAGGGTGTAGGTATCAAAGCTCCAAAGTGGCACGATAGTGACTGTCACTCCCACCACTGTTTCCCCACAGAGCACAAAAACAGCATCAGAACCTCCTCTGGCTCCCTCTGTGTCTGAAGAAGAGGATGAAGATGATGAAGAAGAGGAAGATGACAATGAACCTCCTCCTGTTATTGCCCCACGGCCTGAACACACGAAATCAGTAAGTGCCAGCTTTGGTTAGCTCTGTGTTTGGGGCAGTGCAGAGCTGCAGGTTTCTGCTCAGACAGCATTCACCATTTGGGGCTGAAGGTGCTGTGGGCTGGYGTCCTGCTGTGAGCAGAGCTTCACCCCAGCCACCACCCAGGAAAATCGGGTTGGGACTTTCACATTCAGCTGTCAGTTTTCTGGGATTCTGATGGGGGCCATGACTTTCTCTGTGTATCAGATAAGAGGTGCCATCATATCCTTCAATGCTGCAAGTGTGAAAATGAGCCACTTTGCCCCTGTGCAGGCTGCCTGGCAGCAGGGAGAGTGGTCCAAAGATGCAGTTCATATCCTGGCAAGATACAAGATACATAGGACACACTGTCCCCTGGAGGTACCTGCCCCTCTCCACAGACTRTATGTGAAAATCCATGAAAATTGAACATAAAACTGCCCATGAACTTGTAACCTTTCATTTTTGCCCATTCATTTTGAGAAGTGGACAGCAAAACCAATTTTAGAGCCCTGGATGTGGGTGACATGATCTTCCTTAGGGTTTGCATTTGAAATATGATCTCAGAAATACGATCTACCAGCCACCTTTCTGACACAAAATAATTTCTTGTCACAGATCTACACACGCTCTGTTATTGAACCTGCCGCTGCACCAGCACCAGCTAAAGAAGCCACCACACCCCAACCTGAAAACTCAAACACAAACACTCTGTACAGAAACACAGACCGACAGCGAAAAAAGTCCAAGATGACAGATGAGGAGATCCTAGAGAAACTGAGTATGTATTGGGTATTTTGAGTGTGCTAGAGCTGTGTATTGCCTGCATGTGTCAGCATTAGCTGTACCAAATGTTCCTCCTTGGTTTAGTGTCACAGAGTCATTTACAGCTCTCTGCAGAGACTGTTGTGCTTTGAGGCAGTGAGAAAAGACTCGGGGTGTTCCTGCTGCTTCTGAGGGCAGCTGGGACTGGGTTGGGTTTGCCTGAACCTTCTGTGCTAAAGGCAAAGGCAGAGATTGTTTCTGGTTGAGCAGAAGGCTGTGACCTAGTGAATGATGTCGGGAACTCCTGTGTGCTAATGGCCAAATGGAACAGAATGATTGGGTTCCTAAATTCTCTTTAGGCTCCTAACTTCTCACGAGTCATCAGTCAAAATACTTTGCAGAAATCTGTTGGGTTTGGGGTTTGTTTTTTGGTTTTGGGTTTTTTTTTTCTTTTTTTGGGTTTTTCTTGTTGTTTTTTTTTTGTGGGGGATTTTTTATGGATGTGGGTGTTTTTTAGCAGTACACAACTGCAGCCCTAAGCTGGTTCCTTCAGCCTCAAYGAGTTCTCCTTGAGACACTTACACATCTTCTAGCTATTCTCCTGCTGCCTAAATGACTGTTATTGCTCTTCCTGCTTCTGCAGTTTGTTTTATAAGAATTTTGTCAGTGAGATCTCCTTTGAAAGGAGCGTCCACTGTATATTCCTCAGATAATATGGCACCTTTTCATAGGTAATTCCCAGCCAGTTGATACTATTAGAATCCTAACCATTGGCCTCAACCCCTGTGCAGATCATACTCTAGGAAAGCACAGCAAGCCCTTAGTGACTCTGCAGTGCAACCARTTTAATTGCTTCTTRCATGTAATAGCTGCYAGTGCAGTGTTCTCAGATTAAATGGTTGGGTTCAGAACAGAGCCCAGTTTATTCTGTGTTAGTAAAAAAGGCAGATTGATCTACACCTCCTTGTGTCTGATCACAAAGCCTGGAATGTTGTGTCTTTAATGGGGGCAGCTGTGTCTAACAGGGCGCTSTTTGGCTCTGGCTTTTTCTCAGTGGTTGTCACTACTCAGCCTTTTTGTCATACCTGCCTGCCACTGATGGCTGGTGTGACTGCAGAGGCTGAAGCCTTCCTTGGCTGTGAGATTTCAGCTGCTTGCCTTCAGAGTTTCCTGCATCCTTACCAGGTTGACATGAATCTCAGTGCCATTAGGAAGTATCCAAGGGATAAATTCAATAGCTTTAGCTGAGGGCACAATGAAATAAATTCCAGAGCAGATAGTTACCTGCAGGTGTGTCAGCTTATAGAGAGGGGAATTCTGCTTCTTCAGCTGATGCTAAATGTTTGAGGCAGGCTTTCCCCATGAGATCTGCAGGTACCCTGCATCCATGAGCTCAGTTAGGTGTATCATTTATTCAAGCTGCTGTATACGCCAGGTTAGGACTGAGCCCTGGAGTTTTTGGGGGTATATCCTTGAAAAGTTACATGCTTTCATGCTTTTTCTTTCTTAACAATTTGCTATCAAGTGAGCAAGGGCTGAATGTCTGCCTTGAGCAAATTGTGATGTGGGCAATGGAAATATTTTTGTGCTTTCATGAAGCTATCTGAAAACAGTCATGATGCTTTTTTGTTAGAATCTTGAACTAATTATACTTAAGCAGTGTGGTGCATGTTCTGTTTTATTTTAACTCGCACCTTGCCTACTTCCCCCACAACTGTTCTTATGCTACTTTTAGGAAGATGTCCCCTGCCCTCTTTTATCTCAAATTGCTTTCATAATTCTTTTCTGCTTGAAATAACTTGAGTTCTTTTAGAGCTTTTAGAGTTTTATTAGTGAGTTAAAGCCTGTAATATTGAGATAAGATCAAATAAAATTCTGTCTGTAATGAAATCATGACTATGTTCCACTGATAACTATAAAACAGAACTGCTCCAATTCAGCTTTCTTATCCACTTAATTTAGGACTTGATAAAGGAAAGTGCTTAAAGACATCAAAATAGCTGATAGGTTTATCTTTTGTCCAGAGCAGGGAGTGCTTGTCAGAGYGGGAGCTGCGTACCTGTCACTTTGTTGGTTTTAATGCTGTAATGTTTGATGTACATTGGCTTAAGCACAGGAAACTAGCCACAATTACCCTGGGAAAGCAGCTCCTCAAGTCTTGAGGAAAAACCCTGGAAATCTGACCTCCCAATTTAGCAGCAAATTTGGAAAATAATTTTAAAAAATCTTTGTTCTGCAGTCTTTCTCTGTATTCTTTTCTAACATGAATGAACTTTCATGAACCTCTGATATCTGTTCTAATAGATACAGAGTTCCATTAAGTTGCTGAAAATAGCACCTAGGCAGGCACTGACAGCACTGTGCTGTTCCTGTTGCCCAGCCCAGCACAGAATTGGAGCAGTGTTTGATTTACAGCTGCAGAGCTCATGGGGTTGTGAGCCACAGGTGTGGACAGTCCTGTGTGGGGAACAGTCTGGCCCCATCACCCATTGTGGRGCTCGTGCCACTGAAAGCTGGAGTTAAACCTTGCCCTGCTTGATGCTTTCCTACCTATTCKGAGATGTAGGGAATCTAAAAAAAAAAGTCGAAATCTGATAGACTCAAATAAATCCAAAGGCTTAATTAAATAATATTGCTTTTTCTGGTCTGATTGTTTCCTTGATATAATGCAAACAATGAAGCCTGAGGCGGTGGCTCAATGTCTTCTAAAGATTTACCTTGGAACGTACATCACAGGAATAGTTTAAGAAGATGAGTTCAGAAAGAAAGATTTTAGAGATCTGCAGCATATTTCCTTTGACTGATCTGGCTGTATCCCTGTGTCACAAATACAAACACGTATTTGTTTACCTGTGCATCCAAAACAAAACTAGATGATGCACCATTCCCTCTCAGTAGTAACAAACACCTCTTCCCCTGTCCAGGCCATTTTTCTGGAGCAGAGGTCTTTAGCATCCAAATGGGCATCTGAACTAGATGCCCAGCCAGGAATCCTGCCTGCCAGCACAGCAAGAAGATAGGGCATCAGCACCATCTGGTACACTCCCTGCTCAAACCATTTTGCAGCCCTTGGCAAGAGCATTAATGGAGCTGCAGGAGATGAGGTTTCCTTTGCCCCACAGTGCTCACTCCCCTCACCTGGCACTCTGGGAACATCAGCCAGGGCTGATGGCAGGGTGAGCCTCCCCACTTCCTGGGATACCCACACAGTCTCAAGTAGCCTGAAGTGATCCTGCCCTCCTGTGTCAACCTGCAAGAGTCAGATGAACTGGATTACCTGGAGCCCAAGCTGAGGATGTAACATCTTCAGAACCTGACTAGCTTTTCATAGTTTCATCTCACTGAAACATGCTGTTAAACAAAGCTCAATCTGCTGCTGTAGAGCAGGTCTTCACTACAACATTGTTCTTCAGTACAGAAGAACATAACTCAAGGATTCCCATAATTGGAATTCCCTTCTAGCTGACTGAAAGGAGGGATAGGAGATGAGAGGGTATAAACCTCCTGCTCACATTGTGCAGTTTGACCATCCCACTGCTGCAGTTGTGGAGCTTCCAGGAGGCAGCAGCCTTTGTTTAGTCTGTATTCTGCATCRTATCACCTGGACTCAGGATCTGCATCCCTTTGAGCAGCTTTCATTGTGACACCAGTGCCCCAGGAGCGCTGCTGTCCTTGTGACCCATCCTGCTGCTTTGGGGAGAGCAGCATGTGTGTGGTGGTGAGAGGGTGACTCCACTGCCATGATGGGTCTGTGGTCTGTGCCACACTGAAAACCAGCAGAGTGGTTCTTCAAATGGCACAGGGCAGGGGTGTCTTCAGAGCTTAGCCTGGAAACCAGTGATGGGAGCCTGGTTCTAAAACCCCATCATTCTYGACTGTAACATGAGATGCTGTTCCCTGCAAACATGAAGGCATTCCTTAGGCAAGCTGCTGAAAGGATGAGATGATCCCCTCCTCTCCTAGAAGCACTTGCATTACTCCTCCTGTTCCAAAAATGGTGCCTGTTCATAAAAAAGTGAACACAAGGTACATTTAATCATCAGAAGTGTTGAATCACCAAGTGTTTATTGCCAAGAAAATAAAGGCACTGTTGTTCCAGCTCTCCTTAATGTTTTGTAGAGAACRAACACTTGCACTGCTGCCTGTTTTTTCCTGATCTCTGTCTGTTCTGAATGTTTCTCCATGTATTTAGCTTTCTGGCAAGGTAACCCTTCAAAGGACTGTATAAAATCAGTGTTTGTGGAGGCCAGCGGTGCTGTGGAGCTGCCTCTGTTGTTACCCAACTGAGCACAAGTGGCTCAAAGCCCCAGACAGTGGGGCTGCATTTTGGATCTGCTGGAAGGTGGGAGCTCTGTTTTGAAGTGAGAATCTTGCATTTTGTGTCTTTCAGGGAGCATTGTGAGTGTGGGAGATCCCAAGAAGAAATACACTCGATTTGAAAAAATTGGCCAAGGGTAAGTCCAATCCCAGTTATTTATGCAAAACCATGGGCCAAATGTTTTGCTTGGATGTAACATCAAGCATAAAGACAGTAAGTGCCAAGCATGTGCAGATATGATCAGGTTTAGATCCTCCTGTATCTCAGTACTGGTCAGAATTTGTAACTGTGGTCAGAAGGAATCATCAAAGACAACTTGATGCTGACAATACCTTATCTGCAGCAAGGAGGAGGGCCTGAAAAATCTCCTGTCCCTCAAGTTGGTGGCTCTTGTTTGCTTAATTTCTTAGGAGAAATCATTTTTGTATGTCTCAAAGTAATACGACCATGTTCAAGAAAGGAGAAAAAACATTATTATCTAAGAGAGCAACTTAATCACCTGATAACTGACAGCTGACAGCTCTCAATAGCATTTATTTCAAATATTTGCTTGAAACAATATTCAGTGGTCAGGCTTATAATGACATAGTTTAGAAATTGAAAACAGAGATGAAATAATAAGCTCTTTTTTCTATCAGGAGTAGTAAAGCCCAGAATGTCAGTAATAGACACAGTGCCAATGCCCTTCAGAGAAAAATACATCATCTACCTCATGGCAGATYCTTTGTGGATCCTGCAGGTTCTAGGCATTTGCTGAAAATAATCACCCAAGCCATTTGCTTTTGAAACCCAGCTTTGCTTACTGTAAATTGGATCGATTTGAAATATTTTCAAAGGAGGCAAGAACAAAAGAATTTACCTCAAAATTAGGTTTCTGACTTGCATTTTAAATATGAACTGCACGCACATCAGAGTTTCCTTGGCAGTGTTGTGGTTCCAGGACTGGCACCATCTGTGTAACACCAGGACACTGCTGTCAGTGTAGGACAGAAGCTGCTTACTGGCATCAGGAGATATTTTTCTGCCTTAACTGTTTGTGAGGTCTGAGCTCAGAGTAGCCTGTTGCTAACCTAGAATTGATATGTACAGCAGAAAAGCTGGCACACTCAGGTTCTTTGGCAGGCTTTATCCCAGATMTCTGGTTTGGTGGGGCCCTTGTGGGAAGGTGTTTAAGCTCCATTCATTGTATAAAAGCCCTTTAGCACATTCCARCTTGCTTCCTACCTGAAGCTTTGGTTCTTACTGACATTTGTAAAATGTCGGTGGATACTTCAAGCTGTGCCTGKCTCTTAGAAAAGAAGTGTCAGCTGAAGAAGTGAGAGCAGAATAAACATACATGTGAAGCAGATTATTGCTGTCACTGTGAGAATGTGACCATCACCCTCACAGTTTTTTATTTTGATWGTCCTAGGAGTGCACTTGTACAAAGGTGCCTTGACAACTGGTGGAGAGACAAATGGCCAGTATATGGCCTAAAAGAGTATCTAAACTGRTTGCCTCCAGCTTTTAGTACAGCCTGAAGACTGCATGCCCTCCTTAGAGAGGAATGAGTGTGCTGCTGTAACCAACTCATGCCTCTAATACTGCAGGCCAATTTCCTGTCACAGGGAAAGATCCTAAAGAAAAAGATTATCCGGAAAGTAATCAGAAGGACTCAGAGTGCTGCATGGCTGGGGTTTGGGTGTCTGCAGCAGTGCTGGGCTGTGGCACTGTCTCAGCAGGTGCTGATGTGCTCAGCTGGTGCAGGTGCCAGTTCCTGAGCTGTCCCCTGTGCTGTAAGCTGGTCCAGCTATGCCAAAGGCAAGTGTAGTAGTGTTGGAAGTGAGCAGGTTTTTAGTAGCTGCTAATGAGAGCACTGCAAGGCAGGGAAAGGTGTGGCTGCTCAGAGAACTGCAGGGWGAGAGCAGCTGCTCATGGAAGGAAAAGCAGCTTGACCTGCACATTGCACTTCTTGGCTTCATGCAGCTGGGAAGTCATAAAAGGGTGATGGTTTTACAGCCACTTGTCAGTGAACAGTAGTCAGCAAGCCTGTGCTGCAGAACAGGTCGGTGCTTAGTCCCTGTTTTGTCATCTGTCTCCAGCTGAGGACTAAAAATGTTGCTGRCACCAGAGGAAACTTGGTTCTAACTAGCACTTGATAAAGAGGTTGTGTTTGCTCAAGCAGTGGTAGCTCTTGTAGAAAGCCAAATGAGTATGGAACCATGAGAATGTGATTTGTACTGCACTGCATGGCAGTGACACAGATCTGATGGTGAGTCCTGGCACGTGCCGAACTGCAGTAAACACAATGTGATGCAGAACTGATTCAAAGGTACTGATCAGAAATGAGTTACTYAGAAATAAAAGTTTATAATGCAGAATCACAAAGCCTTTGAAATTAATTCACAGTTTTACTTAAGTTGCCTTTATCTAAATTCCTCACAGGTGGCCTGGAGCACTTCAAGAGCATTTTAATTTCAGGAGATGTTTTGAAATAAAGCCTGATACAACTTCGCTCAGGAGAATCATCACAATGTTAGCAATTCTGAATAAAGGTTGTTGACTTTTTATGAAAACAAATTGGATTAATCTTGTCAATTAGTCATAGGAAAATGCATTTGCCTTTATATTAAAAGAATGCATAGCATGGCCAATGAGAACATTGCTCATTGCAGACACAAGGTTCTGTTGAATTAAAYTGCTTCTGAAATATTTCARCCTGCAGGTAAACAAACAAGCCAGGGTGTCACATGAAAAGGARCAAACTGATYTTGGCACTTTCAATCACTGGGACACTTGTTGGATGCCCWTTCCTGCTTGTGAGAATTTGCTCTCTGGCTCTCCCTTGCCTCGCTGCCCCTGCAGACATGGGCTGCTTAAATGATGGCAGTGTAAAGCTGTGGTTGAGCTTAGAAGGAAGGCCTCCAGAGGGAAGGATTTGCAAGCCCCCAGTTGGGAGCATTTCCTCTGTCTGGGGCCTTTCCAGCCCTTCACRTCATTACAGGGGAAGAAGATCTTTGAAGGAGAGGCAGGTGGCAAACCAAACCCCACTCTGTCTAGTCTGCAGGTGAGCACACCATTTCTTTGTGGTGGCTCTGAAAAACAGCCTGTGTGTGCCACGTACAGACACCATGAAGAGTCCTTCACATGTTTGGTGCACTCAACAGAAGCAGCTGCCTACGGTTCTTGACACACAAAGAAGCTCTCTAAGGATCCTCTGTTCTGAGTCCTTCTTAATTTATGTGTGCAGCAATAGATGCCTTAACCTGCTCTAGCTGTGACCTCACAGGATGGCTGGAAAATTTTTTGCTTTCATGCTGGAGAAAGCTGTATTTAGATCTTTTCCTCAAATGGCTGTCGTATGTTCAGGGTTCTCAGAGTGATTGTGTGACATTGCCTGAGTTTGGCAGATGGATTGAAATAAGAGGTGTGAGAAGGCCCAACTGGATTGTGTGTTACATTTCATGAAAAAACCACACTCACAGACACACAAAGGAAAAAGGGGGAAAAAAACCTAAATACAACACAGCAAAATGAAAAAGAATTATATGTATTATTTTCCAGTTTTGGTAGACAACCCCTTGCTTAGGTTTTGAATTAAAATAATTTATTGTGTGCGTTGGAGATTTGCACCAGCCCTTTTTCTTTATGTTGGACCTGTTTTCTCTTGGACACCCTGCATGACAGAGGGCTCGTGGGCTGCYGTGCTGTTGGCTGAGGAGTGGSTGAMCCCAGGTGTTTATAAACACTCCAGGCAGCAGTGCTCTCCTGTCTGRGCTGGCTTTCACTTCCAKGGACTAAACTGTTTCTCASTTTCTCCTGCTGTTTTGTTTCCAGGGCTTCAGGAACTGTTTATACAGCGATTGACATCGCCACAGGACAAGAGGTAAGTGTTTAAAGTTCTGCAGCTGTTGAGTGCTTTCCTCTCTGGTGTGAGCTGTGGCTGAAGCTTTGGGTGGCCAGTAGAGCTTTACTGCAAAGGCTGTTTTTATGAAGCATGGACAAGTGTCAACTGGCAAAATCCATCACCTGCTGTCTTCAGCTTTTCACTGAAAGGTCTTTAAGGGCAGTGTGGTTCTGCGCCTCAGTAACTCAACACTTGCTGTGGCCATCCACTTCCAGCAACATGGATCTGAGGTTTTCAGAAATGCCTGAAAAAGTGCCTGTGAATTCCTAGRATCAATAAGAGCCTTGGTCCTCTTTGTGCTTGGCTGGATGCTTCAYCCATAGCTTTTAATGCAAATTTTAAGAGATTTTGGTTTTTTACTTACTCTGTCTTCAGAACAGGTTGGTACTCTCTGCAGTATTGTTAATCCCAGCCTGACACCATGTTATGTTATCCCTGAATGTCTTTTTTAATGGAAAGAAATCGGCTAAGAAATCCCAATGAGCTTTTGTGCCAATAAAAAATAGATAATTTCTATTGCCAGTATAAATATATTGGTTTAGAAATTGTTCTGTCTCTGTTCCTCATTACGCACCAAGTTCTGATGATTTCTCTTTTAAAATATCTCTCTTTTACAGAGAATGTTGGTCTATATACAGAATTTAACTCTGTACATTTACAGCATAAAATCTACCTGTGCATGTGGCCACAGACTGGTTAGCAATGCAACCTGTAAAATCAAAAGATCTGTTGTGATTAAAGGCCTTGAGAGAACCCTGGAGGTGGTCACACATTCTCCTTTTGCTGTGAGGAGTAGATAGCTTTATTACATTGCTTGATTATGGAAAGGCTTTGTCCATAAAACTGCCAGGAAGAATGAGGGCAGTGGTATCTTTTAGAAAAGGACACAGTCTCAGGCTTAATTACTGAACCTGTTAAGGCATCCTCAACTGATGGTGACTGCTGTCATTGAGGCCCAGTTGATCTCAGTCCCAGGTTCAGGCAGGAATCTTATTTACCGTTTGTTCCATCACGTGTTTGCTCTTCAAAGTATAATGCAAGATCTCATTAAGGAGAAACAGTGTTTTGGACTCAGTTYTGTGTTTCAGTCATACAGCAGCTGGTAAGAATTCTGTCGTGTTTTGGTCTGGTGTCAGTGACAGTCCATTACAGTGATGGCATTAGTGAAAAACAGACAAGGTCATGTCTTAGAGAACCCCACTGCTCTTTGGGGCTCCAGCTTCAGAGTCCTGAGTTCTCTTTTCTGGCTGTCAGCAGAGATTTCGATCTGAATTTTACTGGTACTTTCTTATCCACCTGCAGTGCTGCAGTTGGTAACTGCACTTAGATTGGGGTCTCCAAGGGGTCTAAAATCCCTAAGCCTTCCTTATAAACCTGGCATATCCATAAAATACCAACACATGGATTATTTCTTTTTAGACCCTGACAATAACTGCAAATGTAAACTGTGTTAAAGAGTGTTCTTTAGAGGAGCAAATCAAAATTTCAGAAGTTGGGAAGTGCTAGGATTGTATTTTTCCTGTGGAACAACAYCCGTAGTGTATGTCTATGTTTGCTGTGTTATGCAATCAAGAATAGCAGGTGATATAATCAAAAATCTTATAATTGCTCACTCCATGTTCATTCAGATCTTGTGAAACAGACTACTCAGGTTAATGGTTTTCAATCTCATTGTAGGTGGCCATAAAGCAAATGAATCTCCAACAGCAGCCCAAAAAGGAACTAATTATCAATGAAATCCTGGTCATGAGGGAAAATAAAAATCCCAATATTGTTAACTATTTAGACAGGTAAGTTGTTCTGGTATTATTATGTGAAAATTCATTTACACACTGCAGGCCAAAGGTTAAAAAAACCCTTTGATCACTGCGGAACAGGAAGCTCTTTTTTTATTTCTCTGCTCATCTCCAGTGGATGGGAGGTTTGCATTGGCTCTCCATTAATCTTTTCTGGCATATATAATTTGAAGTTTGTTTTCAAAAACATGAATCAGCCATATCTTACTAAAAGAACAGTCTGKCAGCTTCCTGTTCCAGCTGCCTCCATGTTGTTCTGTTGTTCTGGTGTTTGGTTTTTCTGARGTTGATCAGATTTTCTGTGTCTTGTGCAAAGTGCTCACAAACCATCCTAGAAATTCCTTTRTGGTTTTCCCTCTATTTTCCACTGCTAGGGATGCCAGGAAGASTAAGTTCTTGTTTCCAGAAACACCTAATTTGGCATTCTTCAAATTGCCTTTCCTGTTCCTGAATATATGTTTTACTAGGTTTCCCAAATATTTGACCAACTTCTGTCCTCAGGGGTGCACAGCCTCCTCCCATGTATAGCTCTGAAAGTCATGTTGCCTTGTTCCTGGGGTTAATGATGGAATTAATGAGTTGAGCTGATGAACCAGCTGGTGGCATGTGTACTGGTTCCCAAATTTATCTTTGCTGTTACTAAACTGCATTCTTCACTTGCTTGTCACCTACAGTATCTCCTTTTTCATGGAGCCTTTCTCATTTAAACTGCAGATTCCAGGAACTCTATAGCCTTGAAGGAATGTCCTTTTCATTTTATTCTGTCTTCATCTGCAAGTGACCTGGAGACAAAAATCAGTGGTAGGATTATGATTATTTGTTAAATTAGCTATGGACATTCATCTCCATGCCGTTGTTTTCTCCTTTCAGCTACCTTGTTGGTGATGAGCTGTGGGTGGTGATGGAATACTTGGCTGGAGGCTCTTTAACCGATGTTGTCACCGAGACCTGCATGGATGAAGGACAGATAGCTGCTGTCTGTCGGGAGGTGAGGGATCCCACTTGTTCTTCTGTTTGCATGGACAGGAGGCTGCTGCTGTTTCTGGGGTGTTGTCATTATGTGGAGAAGAAAGAGCACATCCACAGCAGCAGCAGTTATTCTGACTTGTGTTTGCAGGGGACAGTCTGTAGCAACAACTGACATTTCCCTTTCAAAAGCTGATATGTGCGATCTCTTAGAAAGACATGACTCYACTAATGCTGAGACAGCAAGCTCTTTCTCTTGTTCTACCATTCCTCACCATTCCCTTAGAAAGGAGATCTCTTAGAGCCATTCCCTTTCTTGTGTGATGAAATCACATCATGAATTTTTACCCTTATTTTTATGTTTCTCTATCAGTGCCTGCAAGCCCTGGATTTCCTTCATTCCAACCAAGTGATCCAYAGAGACATCAAAAGTGACAATATTCTTCTTGGGATGGACGGATCTGTCAAATTGAGTAGGTATTCTTGGTCAAATGCAGCACTCCTGGGTGTGGGGTGTGGGATTGCTCGTGAGTGACAGCCAGTTCTCCAAAAGTGATSCCTCTGGGAGTGCCTGATCCCCTGCTGAGGGCAGAGCAATGTGCAGAGAGATCTGGAGGGGAAACAGGGTGTCAAGAGTGGCTTTGCTTTGTGTGTGACSCTTCCAGAGTGGAGGGAGTTACAGTCTGAAGCTTCAAGTGACTTAAGTAAAAGCCACTGYATGAAACTTGAGGGTTTCTTTAAGTGGCCAATTCCATATTACCTTGGCTACTGTGCTGAGGAAACAAAGCACGGCTGCTTTTATACCTAGATTCAACAGTGTATTCTCAGACCCAAAGTGGGGAATTYTTTTSCTTGGTTTCATAATTCAAGCTGTCTTTAACAGTATTTGTTTTTCTCCTCAGCTGATTTTGGCTTCTGTGCTCAGATCACCCCTGAGCAGAGTAAACGGAGCACAATGGTGGGGACTCCTTACTGGATGGCACCAGAAGTTGTAACAAGGAAAGCATATGGCCCCAAAGTGGACATCTGGTCGCTTGGGATCATGGCAATAGAAATGGTGGAAGGAGAACCTCCTTACCTTAATGAAAATCCTCTCAGGGTAAGGTGAAATATCAGATACCACTGTCTTTCTAATCTGTGCCTTATTTTGTCTTCCATGAGATAAAATGCCATTCACATCAGCTTGAACTACTTCTACAAAGACCCACTTCTAAAAATGTTCCTGCAGCACATCAGCATCAGCTGTAGCTTTGATTGCAACACTGCAAGAACCTCAGAAGAGAAGTGACATGTGCCAGTGCAGAAGCTTGCCATTTTGGCCTTCAGCGATGCTTGAAATTTGTCATGCCTTTTTTAAACTCTCTTGGAGCTCTRTCTCTGAATGACAAAAATTTTCAAGTGTCAAGCTTCTCCAATTGGAGAATTTGTATGGAAAGCTTTGCAGCTGTACCTGCAGGCACAAAACTCTCTCTGGTCTCAGACCAGTGCTGATTGCTTACCTGAACCTTCCAGGAAAGGTTGCTGGTTCTAGTACTGCCATAATTATTTGTTATAAAACTAGTAGAAGTTTTTCTTCTACCACATAAGTGAAGCTGATTTGGAATTTAGAGATTGGTTAAAGATGGTTGAAGGTTGCTCCGTCAGCCCAGTTATTATGCCTTTTAGTCAGAATATATTTGTGCATACAACTTGACAAGTCTGTGTTGAACATAAGGCTCCAAATGTTTGGTTTTTTATCCAAAGAATAAGCTGATTAATTTCTTCCTTTGCCATCCAGTAACCATTTTTATCAAGAACAGAGCAAAAAACTTGATGACTTTTATTTTATTGAARCTGTACTTTAGGGACCAGTGATCTCTGCAGAGATGCATTTTATGTAATAATCCTTTGAAATAGTGTATTTAGAGCACACTGACTCTTTAAAATGGCCTGTAAAGCTGTGTCAATACTTGGAGAAGCAAAATGTGCTGATGCAGTTCCTACTAACTAGGTCAGCCAATGAAATCAGCTGTCAAGGCAAGATCATTCTGATGTTGGAGTAGCTGTGACTGCATCAGGATTTTTTTTTTTTTCCTTGTTGATATAAGAAAGTCCTCTCCAGCCCTCTGCCAGGGAAGAAACTGCCACTGGAGATTGGAGCTTAAAAATGGGGTCTATGTGAGCATTTGTGTGTATGAATCAAACCATGGTGTGTTTCCTTTGTCTGCAGGCGCTGTATCTGATAGCTACAAATGGGACGCCGGAGCTGCAGAACCCGGAGCGGCTCTCGGCCGTGTTCCGAGACTTTCTCAACTGCTGCCTGGAGATGGATGTGGACAGGCGAGGGTCTGCCAAGGAGCTTCTGCAGGTGAGATAKGAAGTGACTGCAGGTGAAGCAGATGTCCAAGGGATCAGTTTTCTCACCAGATAAAGGTGGGGCCCCCACATATTAATCTCCAGTCCTGATGCTTCCAAAGGAAAGCTAAGTAGAATCCTAGAACGGTTTGGGTTGGRAGGAGCTTTAAAGGTCATCTAGTCTGACTGAGCTGGGATCTCTTAAACTAGGTCACATTGCTCAGAGCCCCATCTGACCTGACCTCAAATGTTTCCAGGGMTGGGCCACCTACAACATCCCTGGGCAACTGTATTAGTGTTTCACCACTCCCCTTGTAAACAATTTCTTAATTACATAAAATCYAAATTGATCCCCTTTGGGTCAATTATATAAAATCTAAATTGATYCCCTTTGGGTCACAAACCATTCCCTCTTGTCCCGCTGCAGCAGGCCCTGCTGCATTAAAAAAAATGTGTCCCCAATTTTCTTACAAGCCCCCTTGAAGTATTGTGGAGTTGCAAGATGAGGTCTCCCCAGGGCCTGCTCTTCTCCAGGCTGAACAAGCCCAGCTCTCTCAGCCTTTCTTCAGAGGAAAGATGTTCCATCTCCTGGTCATTTCTGTGTCCCTGTTTTGTATTTTGGGGAGTACATTCAGTTTTAACTCTCTAACTCAGGCAAAAGAACTGAGGTAGAATGGTATCAGGTATAGAGGCCTGAAATGGTGTTGGTGAGGGAGGAACACAATAAAAGCAGTTCCCAGCCAAGCTGGCAGAKATTTGGCTGTGGAAAGGAGGAGGCTGTGGGAAATTCACTGTGAGCATCAGAGGGGGCCCCAGCTCGTCCCTCCTGCTCCTGTCTTAGAGTTTTCTGCCACTGAGCCCCATTTTTAGAGGTTTCTGCCACCTAAACAGGGGCAGCTGAACAGGATTTGTTCCAGCCCTGTTTGCTTCCTGGCACAGTCAAGCTGCTGCAGGTTTGCTGCCAGATTTTGTGGCAGAGAGGGAGCTGCAGAGGACACCACTTGACTGTCCCTGCTGGGAAGGATRGTGCCAGCCAGAACAGGAGGGCCCGGGGATGGAAAGGGAGACACTGCTCTTGCTGCAAGCCAGGGCTGAGTCCTTCAGCACCCTGCCTCTTCTCTCCCTGTTCTTGACTTGCTGCTGGAAAGCTGTACCTCAGTACAGGTCTTGAGAAAACACATRAGCCTGAATCCTACTGGGTTAAACATTTCTTAGATGTATTGGAGTTTCCTAAGCAATGACTTATACTCTTCATTTCTGACAATTAACACCGTTKGTGTCTTTAGAAGGGAAGAACCTAAGTGAGTCTTTTGAGTTTCCTGAAAGGAACAAAGCTCTGGGGCAGCAAGCAGCATTCCCACAGCACTGAGAGGGCAAAAATCCCAGCAAGCTGAAGACACCTGGATAAATGGATTGATAGGAGTGTGGGTCCTGTTTGCCTGTGATAGCAATGTCCTGGCCATGAAAGTGGAACTGCAGGTGGTCCCCTCAGTCCTATTTCTGAGTATTTCTGGTAATAAGCAGAATCCTGCCTGAGCCTGTGAGGAACTGAGTTTGGAAAGTAATGGTTCCTTTCTTTTGTTTTTTTCCTTTGGGCAGCATCCATTTTTAAAATTAGCCAAGCCGCTGTCGAGCCTGACTCCCCTGATCATTGCAGCGAAGGAAGCGATTAAGAACAGCAGCCGCTAGCACTGCAGGTCGGCTTTCTGCCCTGCCAGCTCGGAGCAGGACTGAGAACACAAACTCTGTAAAACCTCAACTCTCATGCTGCGGGACAGATGGATGGATGAACAAACCAACGGTCACAGTCATGGTGGTAGGACCACCCCAGTTCCTCAAGGAGTAAAAAATTATCATTTGTCTTCTTCCTGCTTTCTGGCTCCTTAATTTATTTTTAAGATGAATCGGGGCTAAGGACAGAGAGGTAATGACAGAAAATGCTTTGCTGCCTCAATCATTTCCAAGGTAAAGCAAATCCAGTTGGAAGATTCCCTTCCTTCTCACCCTGTGAATAAGCTGTACATTCACTTTTAAATTGTCAGTTCTTTCTAAACGATGTAAAGTCGTGTTTATGGGGTTTTTGGTATGGTTTGGAATTGGAGAAGGGCAATTCTTCATTCATCAACTCCAGACTGCACTGCCTTTTGAATACAGCCCACTCACCAGTTTTTGCCCAGTCATGGTACTTCTAGATGCGGAAGAAAGTGCAATTGCATTTCCAACCAAAAAGGAAGAGTGGGACAGACAAAACATCCTGTGGAGATACAGGCGTTCAGCTGGGACTGTTTCGGTTCTTGCCAATTGGATTGATACCCCTAACTGCAATCTCTTTGCCTGGGTGAGAGTCTTACTCAGCTGAAAAAGCAGGAAGATCAGTTGGTGTGCTCGGGATGCAGAGCTGTCAGAGCAATGTTGGGGAGAGCAGACCCAGCCATACCTGGTGCTGAGCACCAGCAGAGCCCTGGCAGAGCCCAGAGCAGCCTGAGCATCGGCAAAGCCAGGCTGGAAGGAGGTGCTGGTAGCAACAAGCGACAGCAGCCCTGCCCTGGGTGCCTCTCCCTGGGACAGGACTAATCACTCTGTCTCAGAGCCAAACTGGCTGTAGGCTGCTCCCCAGGGGAAGCGTGGCCATGCTGTGAAATGCAGAGCCTGATGGGATTGGCCATCCTGAGTCTCAGCAGGATTGGAGAAGGACAAGCAGAACAGAGCAGTGGTGTCACTTCTGAGGGTGCCTATTCTCCTCCCAGCTGTCTTGTAGCTCCTGGGAAAGGTTCATAGTGTCTGGAATTGTCAGCAGAGGAGGAGGGAGCTGGGCTGCTCCCCAGGCTCCTGCACAGCTGATTGTCCTTTAGGCACAGAAGTTCTGCCCTGGGAATCAAAGCTGACACGAGGGACAACCTGCACAGTTGAGATCTGCTGGAGCCATTGCAGCAGCCAGCTCTGGAAGGAAGCGCCTTAAAACCTGGAGTTGCCCCCTGAGGATGAGCAAAGGTGTGAAATRCAGAGTGGATTGCAGAATTACTGAGAGGCACCAGGCCAGCCTGCTTTCTGCTGTCCTATGTATGGCAAGCACTGCATAGTGAAGCTTGAGCTGCTGCAAGAGAGGGAATCGAGCACGTGCCTGACAATTGTGCTTGACTAGTCAGCGGATTTGGAAGGGAGCAGAAYAGTTTCAGTATACAATTTGTGYTTTATTTATTCGTTTCTGAAAGAMMCAATGTGGCTTCACTCAGTAAAAGCATTTGCACGGCGTATTTGTTGCTGAATTTTAGGAGTACAACTCATGCAAGACCTTCAAAACAGCAACTGARGCAACACRCACCTGGTAAGCAAAAAMGCTCCCACAGTAAAACTGCTTTCTGCTATAGATCTTCATGCTGGCCTGGTTCCTGCAAAGGGTTAAGCAGCCTTTAAGGCACTCACCGCCTTCATGTCTTGCCAGCAGGAACGAAGGATGCTTGGGCTGTTCTTGAATCAGGCCAGGAGCTTGTCTGCCTTTGGCATCCTGTTTAGTTGCAGCCTTTGTGTGGCAAGCGTCCTGACTGCTGCTCCCCTTGCTCATGCTGGCCGTCCCAGTGTCCTTGGCAGAGGCAAAAGGCAAAGCAACACTYCTTGAGTTACCACAACTAAGTAGGAATTAACTTTTCTTCTTTTCCTGGGGAGCACAACAGGTCCAGTTTTTCAGATGGCCAAATAACACATCAAGGCGAGCAGCTCTGGTTTCCTGAGCTGGGGGAACACCAGGAGGAGCCGAGGGAGCTGCCAGGAGCCCACAGCTGGAGCGACAGTGGCTGACAGGACCTGGAGCAGTGGCTGCCAAGCTTTACCCCCAGCAAGGAAGCCACTGGCAAGTGGCAGTGGCCAGGATAGGCCAACAGGCCAGAGCAGAGCAGATTGTGCAGAAGGCCATGCAGGATGGTACTGAAGCCCTTGACCAGTGGTGTCCACCCAACAGAAAGCAATGGCTTCTCTAAACTCTGCACCCACCACGACTGACACGACTGCCCAGACAGAGCTGCGGTGGGATGGTGCTGCCAGCCAGGAGTCACCTGCAGGCTGGGCCCTGCTCTTAGGCCAGTCCTGGTGGCAGCAGTGTGGGTCCAGCTGTGGGACATGTGCCTGGGAAGAGGAGCTCCTCCGCTTTGGGCCAGTTGCAGCAGGAGGCAAAAGAGGGGCAGGAGCATCTGAGGTCACCGAGCCCCTTTCCATCATTTACCAGTGGCCCTGGCTAAGGGGGAGATCCCAGGTGATGGGAGGAGGGCAAATGTGACATTGATCTACATGAAGGAGGCTCTGGGGAGCTACAGGTCTGTCAGCCTGACCTCAGTGCTGGGAAAAGCCATGGRGCAGATCATCTGGAATGTCATCACACAGCACATACAGAACAACCAYGGAATCAGGCCCAGCTCATGTGGGTTTTTGAAAGGCAGGTGCTGCCTGACCAGCCTGATCTCCTTTTATGACTAGGGCATGAGGAGAAAGGCTATGGATGTCTACCTGGAATTTAGTAAAGCCTTTAACAGTGTTTCCCTCTGCTTTCTCCTGGAGAAACTGGCTGCTCGTGGTTTGGATGGGGATACTGTTCTCTGGGTAAAAAACTGTCTGCATGGCTGGGCCCAGAGAGTGGTGGGGAATGGAGTCACATCCAGCAGGGGCTGGCACCAGTGCTGTGCACCAGGGCTGGGACTGGGACCAGTTGTGTTGAATATCTGTATCAGTGGTCTGGACGAGGGGATTGAGGGCACTCTCAGGCAGGTAGCACCAAGCTGGGTGGGAGTGTTGATCTCCTGGAGGACAGGAAGGCTCTGCAGAGAGATCTGGACAGGCTGGATCAATGGCCTGAGGCCAGCTGCATGAGGTTCAACAAGGCAAAGGGTCAATCCTGCGCTGGGGTCACACAACTCCCTGCAGTGCTCCAGGCTTGTCTGGAAAGTGCCTGCTGGGAAAGGACCTGGGAGTCCTGGTCAAGAGCAGCTGAACATGAGCCAGCAGTGCACAACTACCTGAAAAGAGGGTGGAGCAGTGGGGGAATCGGCCTCTTCTCCCAAATAACAAGGGATGGGACAAGCAGAAATGGCTGCAAATTGCACCAGGGGAGGTTTAGACTGGATATAGGAAAAATTACTTCAGTGAAAGGATGGTCAAGTATTGGAACAGGCTATGCAGGGCAGAGGTTGAGTCACCATCTCTGGAGGGATTTAAAAGGTGTCTAGATGTGGCATGTGGGGACAGGTTTAACAGTGGACTTGGCAGTGCTGGGTTGATGGGTGGACTCGATGAGCTCAGAGGTCTTTTCCAGTCTTTTCCAACCTGAACGATTCTGTTCTGTTTAGAAGACTTTGTTTCTCTTGTGAGGTCGCATTGTTGTCTGTCAGCTCAAGATCTCTGTCTGTAGGAGAAGCTYCCTTGSGRAAGAGTAATTGGGGCTGGAGATGGGCTGCTCTCAATGTGTAAAAATTGATCAGGATGRAACATGTTTGTATTCCTGTAAGAAGTGAAGAAATGAGTGAGTTTCTGTTTCCAGTATRTCTTTTATTTTTACTTATCCACAAAAGAACAGACAGCCGTCCTTTAAAAGGAAAGCAYTTTGCAATGGCACATGTTTGCTGGACATACTGTCTAAATACTTCTGTTGACAAACTACACTATTTGATTGGGGAAGAGGGGAATTTCCTATTTATTTCCTTTACCTGTAAGTATTTCAGCATCTCTACTTTAAAAAAAGAAAACCTACCACCACAACTTTCCAGAAAWAAGCAGGTAYRAAAAATAGRGAAATCAAATGGTAGCTGTTTCTTTCTAATCAGTGCATGCCTCAGCATACAAAATATTGTTGGCACTGACTTTTTAAAGACAACCGCTGTCCTAAGAGGCCTTACTTTTTATTTTATTAAATATTATATTTCTTTTTCTTTGCATCAGCAAATCTAAAGATTTTTCTTCTAAAATCAATTCCTGGGAGACAAACAAGATTTCAGCAGAAATAATCTCTGCCAGTGGCTGTTTTCAGCATGGACTGTACTTGCCCAGCTGAGGCTGTGTGACATGCAGGGAAAATGTGCCTCCCTGTGTGTCCCTGTGSCTCCRTGYTTGAGACAGTCTCTGGGGCTAATTCTCACTTACTAGATACTGAAAGATTACAGCTGTGTTTGTATCCTCCCAASCTGGATATTAAATGTAGAAGAGACATAAATATTTTTTAAAAACCCAACAACACAAAACCACTAAAATCCAGTCCTGAGGGGGTCAAGTCTTGTACATTATTTACAGGCTCACAGAGTATATTAGGATTGACAATAACTTTGATCTTGCAGAAAGGAAAGAGACAAATACTGTAAAATCTCTGGAGTCACTTTGGGTTTTTTGACTGCTATCCTCAGATCAAGCAATTAGTTAGATATATTTTTAAAGTATCAGAAATAGGCTCTCTCTGTTGCAAAATGAAAACTRAAAAAGTTTCAGACATTTTCATTCTAAGGTTTTAAAAGTTTGATTAATTGTCTTCATTTTTAAATTAAACAGTAAAACTTATCCAAGAGCTTGACTATGATTCCATCACTGCAATGAAGATGTGTGAAAATGAGCYGATAGCTCACTGTGGTTTAAATGTGTTTTGGGACAGAAGTGTGATAGCAGTAAAGTCAGGGAAGTCTGAGAAGCACAGAAAAGTTTWWTTWWTTWARRAAAARGRAAAAAAAAAAGATAACTATACCTATGTAAAATTCCATACAGCTCCTGCATGCACTCCTGGGAACCTGCACGGGGGTGGATCTTACAGTGCTCTCAGGGTTGGATCCCAAACTTGGGCCGGGGTTACATTCTCACTTCTTGTGTCCAGTGCTTTGTAAATATATGGGTGTTTATTCTTCATCTTTGGCTACTGGTTGGTCACTCCACTGCACACAGAAGAACTCAAGGGTTTGTGCTGAGTTTCTTTGAGGCCAGTGGCTGCACTTTGGCAGGTCTTTCAGTCAGTCTTTCCCTTTGTCCTGCCACCAAAAATGAAGCACATTCCAGTCACCACGAGAAGTAAGTACCTGTCTCCTGTCCTGTAGTTGTAGGAAATGTCACCGTACTCTATTGTCCATATGGCAGTTATTTCAATATATAGTCCTTGGTGTGGCTACTGAATATTCCTCACACTGAGCATGTAAATATTTGTATTTCTTAGTCCAGTCCTGAGCAAATCCAGTGAGCAAAGAGCCTGAGAGAGCCCTGTGACATCTACCATTAAAGGCAGGAGCCAGTGTTTCTTGGCTTGACACCCAGGGCATGTCCGTTAGTGCCATCTTTGCCTTGCTAAGTGCTACCACATCAGTGGTCCACACACCTTGCTGGTGGACTCTTCATTCATGCCCACATGTGCAGCAGCTTAACGATGGTTCACCTTATTTTTCCTCTCCTCTCCCCACACCAGGTAAATATGTTTTATTTTATCCCAAATTTTCAGGACACAGACAAAGRATAACCTTTGTCTTTCAAGAGAAACCATCCAAGCATTTTTTGAGTGGGATTTGTACTTCAGGGATCTTTAAGGCTTCTCTTTGTGTCCTTGAGCTGACAGGGTAATTTYATTTTTCTGACTGAAACTTGCAGAATCTCACTTMTCCATACCACTTTGGATACAGTTTAGAGCTGATTGTCATAATCCTAGGTGTGCATTGTGCCTGCAAACCATCACTGGCCTGAGCCTACCAACAGTTGCATGTACCTTTGGTGACAGAAGTAATCTCAAAAGAAAAAAAATGGTCTCAGAGTAAAAAGACAGAGGGATGCCCATATGCTCTTCATGGGTCCTTCTTGGGCTGCCACGTGGGCACGAGCCTGCAAACTTTGTTCCTGCTGCTCAGCAATTCCCCCAGACCAGCACTTGAGTTCTGCCAGAATCTGCTCCYGACTGAGGAAACTGGGGGCAGTATCATTAGTTAAAGTTGATAATATTGAAAACTGCTAATTGATTTAATAMCCTGTGATCACAGTGGCTTTGCCCTGCAGTTTTCCGCAGACCACACATCAGCTTCAGCACTGGATGTCAGGTACCTTCTGCTCTGTTTGGTGGCACCATGTTGGCAGCTGTAGGAGGCTTGAATGCAACATCTGCATTCCCCAGCTGAGGTACAAAGCCAAAGGGAGCGTGGTTGGGTGCCATGGCCTGAGTTGGCWGCCATGAATGCAGSTCAGAAGAGCTGTCAGTCACCTGTGCACACACCTGAGAWCCAGAGTGCCCTGCTGGTACAGGTTTATGGATGCCAGCCACTGGAACAGCTTCCAACCCTGCTATCCAGAGGATTTTGCCAACATAAAGGATTCTACAGTTCCATGATTCTGTCTGCTGGATTCAGCTAGGTGCATGTYAGCAACATCAGTTTGAACAAAGTTTCCTCTTCGGCAGCTCTTGTGGCCTAAGGCTTCAACTCCTCTAGCTGCTAGTGCTGAGCTGCTCATGCTGAACTAGACAACTCAGAGAGGAGAACACAGTTCATCCAATTTCTTGTAGAATACTGAGAGGCGAGTGTGTGAAAACATGAGTATTGTTTATGTGTCACCTCCTCTGTGCCCTTCATGCCTTTCAGGGCTTCGAAACAGCAAAGAGCCTTCCTCAAGACTRAAATGAAGCAGCGTGTTACTTCTCCTGGGCCTTGTTCTTTCCAGTCCGTGCACTTGACTAGTTTTATCCCTCTTCTGTGCCCTTTGCTCCCCCTGTGTTCAGTGGCTGCTACCCAAGACTGGGGAACTGGCACAGATAAAGTGGTCGAGATCCTCATTTCTCTTTCCTTGGAGCAGCCTTTTCAATCTGGAAGCTCAGTTTGGGGAGGGAATCCCCAGCTCTGCTCATTGCAAGGCTTCCAGTGCCATCTGTAGTGCAYTGAGGGCTCGCAGGTGCCTCAGGCTGATGTGACACCACTGTAGATGGGAGGCAATAGTGGCAGGGGGTGTTCTGAAAGGTCCATTTGCTGTTGCCTGCGGTGTGTGTCCAGCCCTGGCCCAGGCTGGGGGTCACATTCAAGCACTGCTGCTGCTCCCTCTCAATTCAGTGACAATTTGGTTGTTGYTCTCAGTGCCAGCAGCAGCGGTGGCTGAAGCAGTGGGTGCTGACAGCGCCCCAAGTCCCCAGGGCCAGAAAGGTCCCTTGGCTGCCTGGCTGGGGGAAAGCTGCTCCTTGTTCTTTCTTACGCAGAACTGTACTGCTCAGAGGTGTCAGCACAGCAAACAGGGAGCCTGCAAGTCTCTTCCATCCTTGTCTCTTGACATTTTTGACCTTTAAGCTTCAGGTGTACAAAGGCAGCTGCTTTTGGTCCCTCTGTGTATGGCTGTGTTAAGCAGTGCTGCTGAATCCATCAGGAGCACAGCAAGGGGCAAAGGCCTCGGCCCTTCAGTGCCAGGAGCCAGCGGGAAGAGAGCTGCTCACACAGCAATGAGGAGCAAAGGCCTGGAGCAGCACCTCCCTGGGCAGGGCTCAACCTCAGTGGGTGAATAACAGAGTGATTGTGGTGCACTGGTGCGTCAGCACTGCAGGTGCTGCGCCTGCTRACACATGGTTCGAGAATATCTGCAAAAGAATTCTGCAGCTCTTGACTGGATCAGGATGTCACCAGTGCTAAACTCCAGTTTAGTCCAAAGCAACCAGTTTACACCTACGCTGGTGTCTGCTAGATTTTTTTACTTCAGGGTATCCAGACAAAAGTAACAGAGGAAGAGCCTGCATTTTCATTGTTTATCAGAAATGTATCTCATTTTGCTGTACATTCCTTTTTTTAGGACGTGTTATCTGTTTAAAAAAAGAAAAAGAAAAACAGAAAAAAAATACGAAAGAAAAAAAACAAATGTGTAGTGAAAAATCTTCTGTAACTTTGGATTAAGAGGTAACTGATCTTTTTAAAAAGAAAACTAAGTTATTTACTTTGTAAATGTGCTGATGGCATGGATCCATCTTACTGACCTCAGCATCCTTTTTTAAAAGATTTTGGGTTTTGTTTCCAATATTAAGTTATTTTAAATTGTGGTTGAAGCAATAGGAAATTGAAATATGGATTGTGCATGACTGTGTCTTGAGTGTAAAAATATTGCAGTTTGAAACTTGGACCTAAAGTATTGCAAATAAAAGTTATAAATACCAATGGAYTGTGTGACAGCAGCTTTTCTTACAGGGTGTGCAGCATCAGAAAGACTTTGTCAGTGTGGCTGTGGGTGCTTTCATCATCTCTTTATGATGTCGTGAAATGGGATTTAATGTGCCACCTGCCAGGTCACCCTCTGCCACCGCACCTCCTTGGAGCTTGTGTCCACAAAAGCAGACAGAAAGTGTTTCTGCAGCTCTCCGGTTTGCACAAACCCAGAGAGAGATGGGAGTTTCCCGGGTCTTGTATCTCCGTTGTACCATATTCCTGAATAAGCAGCACCCCCTCCTGATGAATGCAGCGAGTTACACGGATGGTTGTCAGCTCCACTTCCTGCCTAGAAATCTTGAAACTACTAAATGCTGCTCCTTTCGGCTCTTGGACACCTACTCACACAGAGCTGGGGAAAAAAATCACCTGGCCACCGGCTTAAAAGGTGAGTTCGCCAAAGTTAGAGGTGTGGAGGAAATCTCTATCCATCCACATATTTTAATAGTATATTAAAATAATATATAAATAGTATATTAATAGTATATAGATGCATGTGTGCATACGCAGTTTTTGTATCCAAAGGAAGAGTGCAAGCAATGTGGCTGACACTTCCACTCCCTGTGTTTGTTCCATATGCATGGATACAAAGACATTGCAGAGAGCCTTGTCTGCACAGAGCCCTCTATCCCTGTGGAACAGAGGGCGGGGTGTGGGGGCAGCGGGTCCCGGGCAGCAGGAGAGATCTGGCTCCACACCCGCCAGGCCCTGCTGAGGCTGAATGCCAGATCCTCTGGAATAGGAAAGCCCTTCAGCCTTGTCCTGCCCAGAGGGGCAGTACTGGCCTGGCAGCACAGCTCATTTTCCCAGAAGTTGCAGGAGATGAGAACACAACCCTACCAAACGGTGCCTGGAAGCCACAGGCTGCTGCCCACAAAGCTCCGCTCTGGTGTGTCCCAAGTGCAGCACGGCACCGTGTGAAAACCTTTTCATGAAGGACGATCTCGAGCGGCGCGCTGGTGCCGTCGGGCTGCGGGAGGACCACGATGCCGTCAGCGGGGCTGATGCCGTGGAGGGCTCCAGAAGCCCTCAGCCAGCCCGGGATGCTCTGGTGCTCTGCTGACCCCACGCCCGCTCTCCCTCGAGGTGTCCTGTGGCTTCCACCCTGCCGAGCCCCGGCTGATCCCCGCCCGGCACGCCCCGCTTTCTCCCGCTGGCCCCGCTCCCTCACCAGCTCGCCTCAGTGACGGATGCGGTTCCGTGCCACACTTTTGATGGCCACCTGCAAGCCAAGCGGAGCAGCGGGCTGAGTCTGCCTTCCGCCCTGCCGAGCCCCAGCCTCCTTCTCCTTCTCCTCCGCCCTCCTCCGCCCGCCGCCGGCCTCGCCGCTCACCGGGGCGCCGTCCCCGAGCAGACGCTGCCGAAGCTGCCGCGCCCCAGCAGCGAAACCACCCGGTACCGCTCTTTCAGGGCCTCCTGCACCCTCCCTGCGGGCGAGAGGCGGCTGTCAAGAGTTCGGCCCGGGGCCACACACGGCCCCGAGCGCCCCGCGACCGCCCCGGGCCGGGCATCCTCCTCTGAACGGGGCACCGGCGGGTCGGGGCCGGCTACCGCGCTGCCGAGCGGCGGAGGCGGGAGCGGCAGTGGCCGCACCGCGTGTGTCCCCCGCGGGCACCGGGAGGGGCCGGGGCCGGAGTCGGGACAGACGGTGCCAGCGACTGGCGACGCTGCCCAGGACCCAGCCACTGATGCCCTCCCAGCAGCGCCACCGCCAGAGCTGCGAGAGCCGGGCGGAGGCGAGTCCCGAGCGGAACGCCCGGGGGCGGGGAGGGGACAGCCCCGCCCGGGCCGGGAGTATGGCCCCGTCCGGTAGGGGGAGAAGGGAAACCGAGAAGGGAAGGGACAGACCAGTGAAGGGCCACCGGGAGAGGGTGCGGGACACTGGGGGTGCGGGACACTGGGAGAGGGTGAGGAGAACAAGCTGAGTAACACAGCACAGAGCGTCCATAGAGCCACTGCTCTGCTGCTGCCGCCGCTGAGGCGCTGAGGCGCTGGGACCGYTGGTCCCCATGTCCATTTGTCCGTTCCCGGTTTGTCCGTTTCCCGTTCGTCCCCCCGCGCTCCGGGGCCGAACCGGAGTCACGGAGCATCTCTGTTCCTTTACCCACGGCAAAGTCACCATCGTTTTTAGCTGCTTCTTCTTATTCTTCACTATATTACGGCTTTTATTTCCGGCAGTCTAACAACTTGCTCCCGGTGCTCTCATCCCCCGGGCCCCATCCCGCCCKCTCGCCCKGCGCTGCGGTCTCTTTCTSACAAGCGGACCCATGTCCGGACTTTGACCTGGAGCAGAGGAAAGTGCTGAACGAGGAGCCTGCCGGCGCCAGGCAGAGGGAGCTCCGGGCGAGGGCAGAGCGGGACATGAAGAGGGAGAAATGCAGCCCCAGCGGGGCAGCGCAGCTCCCTGAGCGCCCGCTCGGGCTGGGCAGCGGGAGCGGCGGGGGCGAGCCCGGCACGGTGCCCTCGGCACCAGGGCTCTTGCTGTTTTCGTGTCCGCTGCCAGGTGAAAAACGGAGACTGCCGATAGGATTAAAATAAAAGAAATAAACTACTATTATTGCGGCAATTTGAGTGCTAGTCCAATAGAGCAGCTCAGGTCTCACCTGTCTGCCTTCTCCCTTCCAATGCAGYACTTTCACCYTGGAGCAAAGGCCCTCACTGCAAAGAAACTGYTGGCTGTTTTATTTCTCCTGCTGTTCACCTGTTGACGCAAGTAGAAAATCAAAATAGTTTTCTCCTGAGTCTGTCCAAACAGGTTCACTTTGCCATGTTAAGCCAAGACACAGAGTCTTGACTTCTGCAGAGTGTCATAGGAATCACCTTGGTTGCTGCTGTGTA